CTGCAGATGACCTGCTGACAAGTTTAGCTGACATTGGAGTTTCCACACCTTCACAGTATATAGGATTGCAGTGATCTGCATGAGAGACTTGGCAGGTGAAACCTCTTCTCTGATCTCATTATAAAAATCACAGTGCAAAGTATGCAAAAGGAAACCGTGATTAACTTGAAATGTTTTGGAACAAAGTGCTTTAGACTGATGAAACAAAACTTGAATAGTTCAGTGATAACCAGACAAGATACCATTGGGGGTGGGGGGGAAGAATAAAGCATTTGAAGAACAGAAAAAGCTTGCCAAATGTTAAGCATGGGTGTGGTTTTGTGGTTACGTGATAGCTATTGTCACAGGAAATATTATGTAGATAGAAGGAAGAGTGGGTTTGACTAAATATTAAGCGATCGTAGGAGCTGGTATCCCACAGTCAGTGAAGAAGCTGAAGCTGGAAAAAGTGCGATATTTCAGAAAATAACAGTCCAAAACATATCTCCATGACGTACTTATAGGAAAGTTTAAGCCTCCAGTTTTGAATATTATTTAAAATCTATGAAGAGATCTTAAGCATGTAATGCATGCTAGGAGACTTAAGAAAATTTCTGAGCTAGAAGATCTAAAAAAAAATCTAAAAGCAACAAAAAGTCTTTTAGCTAACTACTGTAAACATTTGGAAGCTGTTATTTCTGCAAAATGAGATGTTACAAAATACAGCCTGAAAAGATGTCCAAACTTCTACCATATTCACTATTTTCATATTTTGAACCTATAAACAACTGCACATAAATACAAAATATACAATCAAATCTGCAGAAGGGTACATGTTTAACTTTAGACCATTGTAGAGGCCGTGTCAGGTTCTGTTCACTTGTAGATACATTGAAACATACAATTTGAACAGAGGTACTTTAACTTTTTCAAGCAACTCTGTATGGTATATGGATGGATGGATGGATGGATGAATAAATTCAGAGATGTAGAGTTTGCACATAATTTATTTCTTGATAATGGTAATGACTAACAATTTAAATGTTATTTTTAAGGTGGTAAAAAAGTTGGAATAAATCCAAAGATCAACAATTTGATGCCAGCATATGAAGTTGCCAAATATGATCTTATATGGATCTGTGATAGTGGCGTTAGAGGTAAGTGATTTTTTTCAGTGCCACAGAATGTTCTTTTGGAAAGGCTCCTGATTGCAAGCTATTGAAATAAGTAACATAATATTAAAATGTTGATGGTATCATTCATTTAATAAAGTTACATTCTGCCAAGAAGACATTACGAATTTTGTGGAAGTGAAGTTATAGTACTTCTCATAGGCAGAAGGTGTAAGAATCAAAGGCAACATGAAACATATGGAGGCAAATACTGTCAGATTGTTATTTAAATTTTTGGAGCTTTTAAGCCATTCCCCAGTAGGCAACCTTTGGGGGAGGATGCTTACTCTCAAAATCACTGATGGAAATTACTGTTCAAAAATATCCGTTGTATTCATTAGGAAAACTAAGGAGACAAACTGTTGTTTCTGACTATCCTGTGTAGTCTCCCAGTTGATCTCTACAATATCTGTCTGTCTGTCTGTCTGTCTGTCTGTCTGTCTGTCTCTATCCATCCATCTATCTATCTATCTATCTATCTATCTATCTATCTCATCTATCTATCTCATCCATCCATCCATCCTACAAGTGTTGGCATGTTTCAAGGCAAGTCATTGTACAATAACTACCTGTGTAGCTTCATCTTTATTTCTAAGAAAGCCATTCTTAAATAATAAAAATGAAGTAGAGCTAGTTTGATGTAGAGGTTAAAGTGCTAGATTAGAAACTAGGAGACTGCAGGTTCTAATTCTACCCGAGGCATGAAAAACAGCTGGGTGTACTTGGGACAATCATGTTCTATATCAGCCAAGTCCATCTCACAAGGTGGTTGTTTTGAGGAAAATAGGAGGCAGGAGCATTACATACACCTGTTTGAGTGATCCAAAAATAAAGGTATATTATATTATACTATGATACGATACTGTATTATATGCCAGCTTTCCATTTACATTTCTAGATGGTACAGGATTCCAAATAAGATTTCAGATTCCAAATAAGATGTCTTGCAGGCAAGTCACTGGGGACTCCCACAATACTGTGTTTTTTTTCTTCCTTTCAATGCTTGTATTTGCTATTTGCAGGATAGCAACTATCCCAGATTGATGGTATTTATTCTCTAGACTCTGATCACTCCTATAATTACTGAGTTATCAAGTCAGATTAGGGCTACACAACAAAAAATTAATCTCCCTCACTTTTATAATGTTCAGCAAGGCAGCCAGAACTAGGAAATCTCATTGAGAGATTTTTTTTTAGTTAGATAATAGGATTTTATACTATAAGGTACCGGTAGTAACCTAACTATCTGAGAGTAACTTTTCAAAACGTTAAACACAGTTCTTATTTTTCAGTTAACCCAGATACACTAACAGATATGGCCAATCAAATGACTGAAAAAGTTGGTTTGGTTCATGGCCTGCCTTATGTAGCAGATAGACAGGGCTTTGCTGCCACTCTAGAACAGGTAAGTTTTCATTTATGTTTGCTCAGTTTCGTAGGCTTAATTTTTTGTAAATTGTAATAGCTTAAAGCTGAAAAAAGAATCAGTAAATGTAAACATTTTACCACAAAAAATATTCACTACGGTAGTAAAAGTGGTTCCATGTCTTTCCTTCATATATTAACTCCAAAATATTATTCTCGATAGTCTGATATTTGTGAATAGTGGTATTTAACTGTCAGTACTTTGCTGACAGTTTATTATGCAAAATGTTAATTACTTTTACATGTAGCATTTTACATGTAGAACTTTCTAATAGCTTTGAATGAAAAGGCTTATTTGCATTCCCTTCTTCTGATGATGATTCATTCTCTGTAGTTTATATTTTTGTGGGAGGCATTGCTTGCAGCATTTAATAACTTCTTTGGAGTCCTTGAATTTTAATACATTGCTAGTACTGCAGAGGTAGCAATTTTTAAAATTTGGATGAACTGACATATTTATAAAGAATTGCATGAATTAATAGTTTCCTACGTGGCAAATATAGCAGCCTTAATTTATATACAATGGCATGTTGACATTAAAAGGAATCAATTGTAGTTAGTTCCCTAGCAGATATTGCTTTCTTGATTTGAAATTTCAGTCTTTTCTGCTTTAACTTTATGCCTTACTGCTGAATTGAATAGTGCTTACTGCCACTACATTTGTTTTGTTGCTAATTCAAGTAGAAATATCATATATAATACAAAAAATAGTTTATTGTTATTGGATTAAAAAATAGCATTGGAGCAAAATATTTGTTGCATCCCTGTATTCCTTCTCCCGTTTTTCCCCCTTTTATTGCTATACCCCATAATTTCTATTGTACTTAAACTGAAAAGTGGCAATATAGATAAATTCATAGAACTGCTTTATGTTCTGGGCTCATTTC